CGCCTGGGTCTGTCCTTGGTGGGAATAGCCCGCGGCTGTTGGAGCTGTCACTTTTCTCACCTCCAGCACTTCAGCCGCGGCCGATTCTCCTTCAGCCCCGGAGCAGCAAGCCGGCAGTGTCCCTGTCCCTGCCCACCACGTCCTGCCCTGGGCCAGGACACCTGAGCACAAACGGATCTGTCCCAGCTCTCTCTGTCCCTGTCCTGTCCCTGGGTGTTGCAGGAACCTGCTGGCCTGCAGAGCAGCCTGCTGGGGCCATGGGGGAGCGCGGCCCCCTCAGCACTGCAGCAGCACATATGGCTGCAGTATTTACATAATGCCGAGTTATCCTGTGAAATATGGAGCAATTAATTTTGATTAGTGAAGTGGGTCAATAAAATACAAAGGCTTTCAGTCCGTGGATCTGCAAAAGATAAAACACAACCATTGCATGGTCCTTTCCCCTTTGATGTGGCTGGAGCAGTTCTGAGGAGCCCTGGCCGGGGCTGGAGCTCCCTGGCTGCTGTCAGTGGTACCTGGGGCTGGTTTGATGCCTTTCCTGGAGCAGGTCATTATCCGGCCCTGGGGGTTTGTGACACTGACGTGGCTGGGAGTGTTTCCTCCTCAAAGGCAGCTCAGCTGCCTTGGGAGCCTCTTTGCCATCCTGTGGTGCACTGAAAGCAGAATTTCATGGCCAAACCCAGGGCCTGGGGCTGTCAGCAGCAGGAGCATGGCAGGCTGGCAAACCCTCTGACGTTCTGCTGTGCATTTATGCCAGCCCGGGGAGCACAGGGCAGGGCAGACAGAAGGGGCTGAGAGGTCAGGAGCTGTGTCAGGGTGCTCAGCACCTCTGGGACACCTTCATGGGCACCCTGGAGTGCTTCCATCCAACCTGTCCTGGTGCTCAGGGGGGCTGAAGAGGCTTGGGTGTGCTTTGGAGCCTTCCTGAGGCTCGTGGGTCTCACTGCTGATCCTCTGTGCAGTTCAGAGCCTCCCGAGGGGCTGCCCTCACCTCTGGCACTGCTCCCCTCGGGGGTGTTGTGCTTTGCTGCAGGAAATTTTGGGGCAAAATCTGCATTTCCAGCAGGCTCTTCCTTCAGGCTTTATCGCCCTGGTTACTGTCCCTGCTGCTGGCTCTCTGTGCTGAGCAGTTTCAGTGCAGCAGGAGCAGGGCAGGAGGGGGATAAGGAGGGGACAGACCCCATGGGGTTAACTGGGCAGAGCAGTGTCCCTTCTGTGCTGGCTGGGTTTGGGTTTTTTTGGCGAAAGGAAAAGCTGACAAGACTGCAGGTCTAATCCTTCTGCCACAGGCAGGAGCACAACCCAAAAATAATGTTCCTGCAGGCAATAGAATGACACCAGGGCAGAGCAGTGTGAGAGGCAGCGGAGCCGGGTCCCACTCCTGCTCACATCTGCACGGTATTGACAGAGCTGAGCGTGTCACTGAACCAATTTCCCTCACAATCTTTTGTCATCCATAGCACATTATGCGGAGATGAGACCAAGGTGACAAATGCAATAAAATAAACACTCGGATACTATGGTGATGGAGAGCAGGAAATGCCTGGATGGGAAAAAACAACAAAGCTGAGCTACAAGAGATAAGCAAAATAACCCCTGTGGCTCCTAATGCAAAGAAAGGAGCGGAAAACATGATCAGGATTTCAGCTTTCCCAGAATCACTGAATCATGCAGTAGGATCTGTTATTGCTTCTGTAGATTTAGGAGCTGTGTGGCTGTAATGGAGTAATGGAGCCCCTATTTTTAACTCTTCTCTTGCCTCTTCCCAAGCGCTCGCTGGCAGCTGATTTATGGCTGTGCAGCTGCAAAGAGCTGAGCACAGCTCTCAAGGACCCTGGCAGATGATTTAGCTCTGAACAGCAGCCAGCAGGCACATTTGTGTTGGTGATGGACGAGGATGGGTTTGGGCAGCCCAGGTGCTCCCGTGCAGAGGTGAGGGGTGGAAATCTGCACACGCCTCTGTGTGGGAGCAGCAGCATCACCAATGCAGAGAGGACGGCTTTGTAAAGTGGACAAATCTCTCTAATCCCAGGAGCTGGAGCCCCAGGGAGAGGCAGTGGAAGCTTTCTGTGCCTGTGCAGCCTGCTGTACATAAACCATCTCCTGTGGGGTGATGCTGATTCCACATTTAAGTCTCCTCTGCGGAGTGGGAACCATGAGATCCATTATGGGATGGAGGCAGCTTTAAATGGGGAACAGCAGCGGCTACACTTCCAGGAGCTCAGCTCCCTTTGTGTGTGCATGGAGCTTCTGGCTGTGCCCCTGCTGTCACCCCGGGTCCGGAGGGATTGTCCCCTCCAGCCACACCCCCCATCCCCAGCAGGCTCAGAGCAGGACAGGGCAGAGCCTCGCAGGTTGTTTTGTCTTTTCTTTAATCTGAGTGCCTGTCCTTAGGGAAACTGCAGCAAGGACGGGCTCTGTGGGGTCTGTGGGTCTGTGGAGTCTGTGGGATCTATGGGGTCTGTGGGATCTGTGGGGTCTATGGGGTTTGCACCACTGGCTGTTCAGAGCCCAGATGTGAGGAGGCAAAAGCCTTTTCCAAAAGGCTTTTCCAAAGCCTTTTCCTCCTGCAGCTGGGCCAGGCACAGGGAAGCAGCCCCAGCTGCTCCATGGCTCTGTTCAGAATGCTGGATATACAAAATGTATTTTTTGGTGCCTTCTGAAGGGTAGAGCTGTCACTAGAGCAGCTCAGGCAGGGGGTGCAGGCAGGGCACACACCGAGTGTGAGATGGAGAATTCCCTTCTGTGACAGACACACTCTGGACAGGAGTTGGGAATTTTGCTGCATTTTGCTGCAGTCTTTCTTTGCAGATCTCTCCCTCTCTGTTTCTCTCCCTCTCTCTCTCCCTGTCTCGCACATTCACTCTCTTCCCTTTTTCCCTTCCCTTGCTCTCATTGCTCCCATCTCACAAGCCAGTTTCCGCCTAAATTGCCTGACATTTACACTCAGTGAGACTGGGGAGTGTGGTCTCTGTACCAGTAGGTCTCTGTGATGCTATAGGGACACAGATCCTTTCATTACAAATAATTAATTTAGCTCTATATTGCATAACATCCTAAAAAGCTTTCTAGGGCAGTCTCATGCTAGCTGGATGCACAGTTCCTATCAATATTGCATTACATTTGGGTACAACAGTTATGAAGTTTCATTAAAAATTTAATTTGTGGTTTAAAACTGCAGTATCCCCTTCTAAGTGTAGCAGAGAAACCGTTCGGGCTGCTGGAGGACTGAGCTGGCATCAGCCAAAATTGCAGGGAGAGCTGCAGAAGGGGCCCGGGCTGGATGTGAAATTCCCAGCGCAGGAATGCAGGGATGGGCTGGAGCAGGGGGCTGGGGCTCGGCAGGGCTGTGCCGGCCCCGCTGGGCTCCTTCTCCCCTTGGACAAGGGGGTGAAGCCTTGAGCCGAGCCTGAGCCCGAGCCCAGCCTCGCTGTGCCCGTCTGGGCTGGATTTGGGGCTTTGGGGAAGCAGCGGGATGAGCGCCCGGGGCTGTGCGGGGCCAGCAGAGCCCGAGGAGGAGGAGGAGGCGGAGGAGGAGGAGGAGCTGCCCTGTCCATGGCAGACACCGCTCCCATCCTCCCGGTGAGAGCCGAGCTTCTCCTTCCCGGCAGCGGCAGCAGGACCCGGGGCATCCCCCGTTAATGATCCCCCGTTAATGATCCTCCATTAATGATCCCCGGTTAATGATCCCCAGCTAATGAGGCTTTGCTGTGACGCCCGAGCCAAGCTGAATGGAGGCAGATCCATTCCCGCATCCCCATCCCACATCCCGCATTCACATCCCGCATTCACATCCCACATCCCGCATTCATATCCTACATTCTCCATTCCCCATCCCACATCCCACATCCCCATCCCACATCCCACATCCCGCATTCACATCCCACATCCCGCATTCATATCCTACATTCTCCATTCCCCATCCCACATCCCACATCCCCATCCCGCATCCCACATTCACATCCCACATCCCACATTCACATCCCACATCCCACATCCCCATCCCACATCCCACATTCTCCATTCCCCATCCCACATCCCACATTCACATCCCACATCCCGCATTCACATCCCACATCCCCATCCCACATCCCACATTCTCCATTCCCCATCCCACATCCCACATTCAC